AAAAGAAAACAAAAACAAAACACATGATCATTTTGATTGATGCAGGAAAGGCAATTGACAAAATCCAACATCCGTTCCTGATAAAAAAACACAACAAAGTAGGAATTTATGGGAAATTCCTCAACATAATTAAGAGCATATAAACAAAACCAACAGCCTACATTACACTCAATGGAGGAAAACTGAAAGCCTTCCCTGTGTGAGCAGGAACCAGACAAGGATGCCCTTTGTCACCACTCCTATTCAACATTATGCTGGAAGTCTTAGCCACAGCTATACAGCAAGACTAGGAAATTAAAGGCATACAAATTGGCAAAGAAGTAAAAATCTATCTATTTGCAGATGATATGATCCTATACATAGAAAACAACAAAGACTCAGTAAAAAAGCTACTAGACCTCATTGGAAGATTCATCAAAGTAGCAGGATATAAGATCAACATACAAAAACCAGTTGGATTCCTCTATACCAACAACAATGCTGAAAAGGAAATTAGGAAAGCAATGTCATTGTAGCAGCCCAAAGGATGAAATATCTGGGAATAAATGTAACCAGAGAGACAAAGGACCTATAGAAACAAAACTACAAAACACTTCTACAAGAAACTAAAAGAGACTTACAAAAATGGAAGAATATGTTATACTCTTGGATAGGAAGACTTAACATTGTAAAAATGTCAATACTGTCCAAAGCAATTTACACATATAATGCAATCACAATCCAGATTCCAACAACATTCTTCAAAGAGATGTGAAAAACAATTACAAACTTTATATGGAAAGGAAAGAGACCTAGGATAAGCAAAGCACTGCTTAAGAAAAAGAATAGGGTTGGAGACCTCTCACTCCCCAATTTCAAAATTTATTTAATGGCTACAGTGGTCAAAACAGCTTGGTACTGGTACAATGAAAGATTCATTGATAATTGGAACAGAATTGAGAATCCAGGAATTAACTCATCCACATATTTGATTTTCAACATGGGGAGGTGATATTCTCTTCAATAGATGGTACTGGCAGAACTGGAAAGTGATGTGCAAAAGACTTAAACAAGACCTTTATCTCACACCTTTTACAAAAACCAACTCAGCATGGATTAAAGACTTAAATGTGAATCCCAGAATTATGAAGGCCATCAATGAAAAAATAGGGACAAATGTGAGGGCACTAATTCAGAGAATACGCAGACTACTAAACGTTTTGAAAACCACACAAACAAAAGTAGACAAAATAGTTGATTGGGACATACTAAAATTTAAGAATTTATGTTCATCAAAAGTCTTCACCAAAAGAGTAAAAAGGGAGCCCACAGAATGGGAAAAAATCTTTTGCAATGACACATCAGACAAGAGACTCATTTCTAAAATATATAGGATACTACAACACCTCTACAAGAAAAAGACAAATAACCCAATTGAAAAATGGGCACAGGACATAAACAGATACTTCACCAAGGAAGAGATCCGGGCAGCCAACAAACATATGAAGAAATGTTCACAATCACTAGCCATTAGATAGATGCAAATTAAAACAACAATGAGATATCATCTCACACCAGCAATAATAGTAAAGATGAAAAATGTAGAGGCCAATAAATGCTGGTGAAGACGTGGAGAGATAAAGACACTCCTGCATTGCTAGTGGGATTGCAAAATGGTCCAACCTCTCTGGAAAGCAATGTGGCACTTCCTCAGAAGGTTGGAAATAGAAATACCTTACGATCTAGCAATCCCTCTTACTTGGTATTTATCCACAAGAAATACGAGCCATAACACCAGTAGTTATATGCACACCAATGTTCATAGCAGCACTAATTATAATAGCAAAAAGATGGAGACAGCCTAAATGCCCATTGACTGAAGAATGGATAAACAAACTGCAGTACATACACACAATGGAATATCATGTTACCTTGAAGAATAACAAGGAAGCTGTAAGGTATCACATAACATGGATTAACCTTGAGGACATTATGTTGAATGAAATGATTTGCTTACAAAAGGAGATATACTGCATAGTACCACTATTGTTAAAGACTAAGAAAAAGAACCCATACTAAAGAGGAGGGGAGGATTCTTTGCTGATTACTGGGATGTGGGGTTGGCGTGAGAGGAGGGAGGGGAAGGAGGAACACAGGATAGGGAACAGACACAGGATAGTTTGGGTGTTAGGGAGGCTGACAAGACACCAGAAGGGGAGAGGAATGGAAGAACAAGCCAGCTTGGAAAACAATCAGGCAGGTTTGCATGGGCTGAGAGAGATAAAAGTAAATAGTGATGTATGCACAACCTTAGATCAACCGGGCTCTGGGATACAGGGATTGAGATATGGTTGGAATGGGCAAAAAGGGGGACATAATGTTAAGATGATTGGCTGTCTTTTGAATCTTGGTTTCCTTGGCATACCATTATAAAATAGACACTTGAGGGGGAGAGAAAGGAATAGCCAGATATATCACCATAGAAAGCTTGTACATCCGTCTTCTGCCTATAACTGATTGGAATACTTAAAATGGGGATACAACATGTCCAGTGAAGGAGGCTTCCTGTGGAGCCTCTGCATTTCATAAGACCATAGGTAGAATCCTGAACCCCATTCAGAACATTTTGAGGTGGGAAATTTCTACTTTAAAGGACAAGCAAACCAGCATGGAGTAGCTAGAAGAACAGAAGATACTTCTTGAAAGAAAAAACAACAGGAAAAATACAAAACAATAATGGCAGTCTGACTGATTATTACAAGAACAAGCAACTTGCTCTCCCAGGAAACATCAAGGCAAGTGGTTGGGTCCCCTCAGGGCAAACTGCCTGCCAAGACTAAGACTCAATGGGAATACACGAGCAGACCTGCGCTCAGATTGGTAACCATATTGATCACTGATAAGGTAAAGTGAAAGAAAAAAAGCAATTAACCTGTGAGCTAAGCCCTACAATTTTCAATATACTCCTTGAACCTGGGTGGAGAGTTGGTTGGCCAGCAGTGGCAAGACCTGGGGACTCGTGGACCCAGAGTCAGTGACATAGCCACAGAAGGCTAGAATGGAGAGTGATGCATCCAGCTGATAAGAAGGGAGGGCCTATATGCACAAGAACACCCACATTTGCAGATAATACCCACTTGACCTGGTTTCAATGACTGGATGAACAGAGCTCAACTAGAAGAAGAAAGTAGAGGTAAAAAAAGAGTAATCTGATGCAATTTGATGAACTTGACCTACACCTATGGATGCAGTAGCTTAAAAGAGGAAACAAATCTTTACAGCAAGAATCATTCCCACCCCCTCCATACACAGAGTAGACAGGGATGGACAACTTGGACATTGGCTACCCAAAATGGGGGCGGGGAGGGGGGGGCTACAAAGACAAGAAATGACTGGCTTACAAGCTTTCAAGAGGGAGCCTAGATCCAGAGGACACAGAGGAAGGTAGAATCTCCACTGAGTATCCAATCTGTCTGGGCAAGGCTGATGAAAGGAAATGAGGATAGGTCTTTTGTGATACACTTGTGAATACTTGCTATCAGGACTGACTGTGAGGGTTGAAAATGTAAAGGTTGATGTTTTGTAGCTAAAGGAGGGAAGTGATTGACTTTGCAGTACAGGAGTAGAGATCCCTGGGACCATCAAGGGAGAAGAGTGGAGTTCAGGACCCTACCCAGAGAAGCAGTGACACTTGGAATGGAGGTAGAGGATGATGTGGGGAGATGGAGCAGCTGGGGACTCTAGACCCAGAGAGGGAGAGGGGCTGTGTGCTGATGACCAGGGGGCAGGCTTGCGGGGTATACCCTGTGGTTGGTTGATGATGCATGGAGGGGATTGTAACCATGGCAATGAAACAATATACGATAGGATGAATGTAAAGCTAATGTTCGCCCAGGTAAACTATCACATAATTCACAATAAAACATTTAAATAAAAAAGAATATTCTATGGACAATTCTACTCTGTATAGGGTCTTCATGATTCAAAGTCTGATTCGACAGCAGTTAGCACAAAAGGAGCTCTCATGTGGTGTGGTACTCTAGGATTAGTACTGGAGTGAGAAACGTCGGGTCAGAGGTTCAAATCTACCAACTTATTGGGAACTCTATACATGGTTGCTGTGTTTTGGAACTTACTCAAGGGCCACACCACAACAGGAAGACCACTGCAGAAATTTGATGGTAATTACCTATTCTGATTTAGAGAGCAGGTAAGAATATAACAAATGAAGTATGAAAGAATAATTTAGGAGGTCCCTGGGACCATCAAGGGAGAGGAGTGGAGTGTAGGACCCTACCCAGAGAAGTAGTGACACCAGAGATGGAAGCAGAGACAATGACGTGGAGAGATGGAGCGGCTGGGAACTCTAGACCCAGAGAGGGAGAGGGGCTGTGTGCTGATGGGCAGGCTTGTGGTGTGTACCCTTTGGTTGTTTGATGATGTATGGAAGGGATTGTAATCATGGCAATAAAATAATGAATGTGAAGCTGATGTTCTACCATGTAAACTATCACATAATTCACAATAAAAAGTTTAAAAAAAATTGTTTATTTTATCTATATGGCTATACATTTGAATCCATCCTAATTATTTTCCTTCTAGACAAGATTTTCTCAATCAGCCTTTTGGTATAAGATAAACATAAAATTTAACATTTATTAATTTCATATTTCAGCATCTATGACCCTCATCGAAATATTCACCTAAAATTTTCATAGTAACCTTTATTTTCTGTCAAATGTTGCACAAATACTATAAGAATTTAGACTTTACACTGTATTTTTCATTTTTTATTTTAATAAGATATGTTATATTGTGCACTCTGCCATTTTTAGCTCACTCAGCATATACTATTTTGGTTAGGCTGGCAAAATGAAAGGAACTCATTTTTCATTTTGGGATCTCAACCAAAAGGCCCTAAAGAGGATGCACCGAGTGCTTCATCTGTCCACCCTGGACTTCATTCCCTCTGTATGTCAGAGATTTACAGGCTTGGCTCCCCATAGACCAGAAACACTTACTCTCTGCGGGTTCTTTAGACCTTCGGCCGCTAGAGGACTTTCTCAGCAGGCTTCGTCCGGAGGTAAAGAGGCTGGTAAGTTCTTCCAAAGGGCTGGTGGGTGTCCTGGACCTCGAGCCGCTCTGAGCTGACCCGTAGGTGTTCACAGAAGCATTGACCATCTTGGCCCCATCTTGCGACAGTGGTCTGGGGATCGAATGAGGCACTGATGGAGAGCTCCTGGAAAGGCTGCCAGAATGCACAGCGTCGTAAGGGGGTGGCCTTTTGAGGCTTAAAGGAGTAAGGGACCGTCCCATGCTAACAGGTGAAGGAGAGGCAGAATGACTTTTAGGATAGCCGTGGGGAGACTGGGTTCGGTACAAAGTGGAAGGGTGAGGAGGGGACGAGGAGAGCACAGAAGTAGCAGAGGCGGGTCCTAGTGCTCCGGCCTGGTCTTTCTCCAGCTTGGGATGGCCAGAGGTCTGCGATGGCAGTGAGGATGGAGACGCTGCAGCTTGCTGTTTCATATAAGACACATTTTCCAACACAGGAAGCTTTGTGACCTCCAGAGGAGTGAGTGGAGACTCGTCGGAATTGGGGGAACACTGCACCGGGGCTGGTGGGAACACCAGGAGTGGGGGCCGGTGGGAGAGCAGGTTGGGGAAGGGTGGAGGGATGTCACAAAGCAAACCCTTTGGAGTACATGGCACTGAGGACTTGACGAAGTCCAACTCAGGCACTGCAGGAGTAGCACACTGTGAAGAACAACTGTGATGGTCAAAGTCACATTTGGAGTCTTGGCCTAAATCATCGAAGATGGGGTATTTCATTTCCTCATAGACTGCCTCACTCTGGTCATCCTCCTCTCTCCGGAAGTCTCTGAGAATGTTGCCCACCATCTCGATGTACACAGGCTCCTCGTCCTCTGGGTCACCTGCGGGACTGCCCACTTGGGACAGGGAGGAGTCCCGTGTCAGCGACGTCCTCCTGGGGCCATGCTTTTTGATATACGTTTCATCGAAAGACGTGCTTAGCTGAGTGTTTGGATTGCGTTTGGGTTTCGGAGGAGGAATCTTCTTTGAATATTCATCACTGTGGGGTCTGGGTTTGGCTGACACTAAAAGAAAAAAGAAAGAAAAGAAAGTTAAATAGACGATACAGTAATGACACATTTTAAAAATGACTTACACTTGGATTTACTACACTAAACTTTTCATTGTTGGTTTGTGTTTAGCCTAAAAATCAAACAGAAGTGTCCAACGTTTCCCATATTTAATAAAACCTGATAATATAACAACAACAGTACTTATCTTTAAACTGATATCACTAAACAAACACACAAATAGAGTGAGACCGGATCATTTGTACTTCTGCCTTACAAGCCTACGGTCATTGAGGGGATTCTGACTTCTCTGTCTTAGAATTTTCTAATAGAAAAGTTCAGTTTTAGATAAACCACGCTAAATAAAAGTAATTAAAATTTTCATAAAAGTTAATCCTAAAATTAAGCGAGAAAAAAACTGAGAGAAAACATCTGAAGTTTCTATTCACTCAAAGGGGCACAAAATACCATCAGTCATTGAGATTGGGCTCTTTTGATCATATGACTATTACAAACAATCTATCTTGCTTGTATTCATGATAAAAAATTTCCCAGTCTGCTGGACTTAATCTCTGTCTTGCTTCAGATTAATAACGTCTATATAGATGGATTTGATGTTTCAGGGGAAATGGATGTGAAAATCTTATGTGACTAGACAAGTTAATCGCCAAATCTCCAGGTTTTGTTGATCATGGTATATTTGTCTGTTTTTTTACTCATAAGATCTCATGATATCCCAAATGCTGTCTTGGAATGAATTTATTAAATAGGTTCTACTGACACATCAAAATCCCCACAAGAGTTTTAAAAGATAAAAATCTGTGAAATGATGTGAAAGTTTCAAGAATAACTTCTGGATACTCACAACAGCAGTGTCTGTCAGAGCATGCCTCTGGAAGCCTACCTTTCGACAGAACATATATTTCTGACACCATGCAGTAGCTTGGGATATACTGGCAAAATGTCTGTGACTAAAATCTGTTGTTCAGAAGGCACAGAAGATTCTGGAGTCTGCTATCTCGTTATCTTATTATCTCATTGTGTTGATATATGACAATGATTGTTATCATTATTATGAAGTATACTAGGATATATCTGCTTAATATAGATGGTAGCATACAATGGAATCTGATAGTATAGCTTAAAGGTATAAGAAGCATCTCTAAAACTTGTAGACCAAAGAGAAGAATAACAAGTTACAAGCCAGGAAACACCTAAATTCCCCTTTATCTTGTCTGTTTTTCAACAAGATGACTTATGATGTATGTAGGAGTTTTTCTAAAATTTATTAAAGGAGTTGATGGTGGTTGTGTGCTATCAAGTTGGTTCCAACTCGTATCGACCCTCTGTGGAGTTTCTGAGACTGTAAATCTTTACAGGAGCAGAAAGTCTCATCCTTGGGATTTGAATTACTGACCTTGCCATTAGCAGCCCAGTGCATAACCCACTATGCCACCAAGTGCTTAAAGATGAGTTTGGTGGCAGCCCTAAGTATCAATTGTGATTTCAGAAAGAGAGAAACAATCACTTTTTGTTAATGATTATATATCTCAACATTCTGGATTTGAAATGCTTACTCCACTTTGTTCATAATAATGATTTTACTCGGTGTTTTGAAGGCAAGATTTTTAATGTATTTAGGCTTTTCTTATGCCCATACTTGGGGAAACTAGCTGTCCTAGTCCAGGGGATTTTACAGTGGAGTCTTTTGGTGCCCAAAGTGAATAACCTAGAGATACACTGAAATAAATACCCAATCATTATGAAGGGAAGATTCAAAGCAACAAACAACTCTTCCTGTACCTCTTAACTTGGCTCCAGTTTTTTCACTGGTTTTGAAAATTATCCTGTATGCTAACATCTACGTCATTTAAATACATCATCATATTACACACAAAAACATCTTAGCTTTAAAAAAGTAAAGTTGTAATTCAATGGGCAAGGTTGACATACTACTGCAGGGTACTTGAATAAAATCTTGAAGGTTCTTCTTGTTCTGACACTTCAGTCTCTGGTTGACATCAAGGTACATGCTGTTTGAATCTGGCTTGTTTTCTTGGAGGTAGTGGGGATGCTGTGTGTTTTGTGGTTGTTGTTATGGGTTTGTTTTGGCATACTGACTTCCTGCTTCACCCTGTTCTGCTTGTTCTAGAGGAAACAATGTTCATGCCAGCCTTTCCCAGGGAAATCCTCAGAAGTGGAAAGCTGCTTTCTTCTCTCCCCTTTCTCTCCCTACAGGGTAAAAAGTGCTTAATGCAGGGGGATCCATGATTCAGGTAAACTTCCCCCTCCCCACTGTTCTTCCATTCAAACTGATCCAAATTAGAAAGGAAGGTTTAACGATTATTTGGGGAATACAGTGTTAAGTAAATTGCAGATGACTAGGCATTCTGGTGTGGCACTGTGGGGTAATGCACTGGACTGCAAGGTCAGAGTACAGGCTTATCAGCCACTCCTCCAAAACCCTACACAGGGTCACTATGGGTAGGAACTGACTTGACGGCATTTAATAACAAAAACAGGAATCCTGGTATGGCACTGTAGGATAAGCACTGGACCATAAGATCAGTTTGAACTGCTCTTCAGGAAACTCTATACAGGGTCATTGTGAGTCAGAACCTACTATACAGTACTTAACAACAACAACAACCAAATAGTCATTTTCAAACTCATGATTCTTTTATTAATGATTACATATCTCAACATTCAGAAGAGGAAACATTTTCATTTGAATTAACTGATTTGTCTCATAATTTTCTATGTATCATCTGGCTTTACCTGATTGGGTAAATAATTCATAAAGCAGCACAGAGCAGCAGTGGAAATATATTTCAATTATTAAATTTTTAGTTTCCATATACAACAAAAACATATAACGAAAAAAAAAATCAAATTTGATCTTTTCCTTCTTTCTTGTCTTCTTAATGACTTTTTGCTCTCCAACATAGAGATGCTAAAGCAAAAGTAAGAAATGAGGAGGTATAAGAGCTGAACAGAAAATTTCAAGGGTCTGCTCTAGAAGACACAGTCCAATATTACAACAATATGTGCAAAGATCTGCAGTCAGAAAAAACAAAAGGGAAGAACACACTCAGCATTTCTCAAGCTAAGGGAATAAAAGAAAAATTCAAGTCTCAACTTTTGTTATTGAAGAATTACCTGGGTAAATTATTGAAAGCATCAAAAGAAGATGGAAGGAGACGGCCAGACGGCACGGGTGAGTGAGGCTCTGGGTTTGGGGAAGGGGAATTCACGAAAAGAAACCATCCTGTGGCAATCCCACGCCCTTACAGCCACCATTGTTGTTGTTGTTGTTGTTAAGTGCCGTTGAGTCGGGTCCGACCCATAGCGACCCTGTACAGGGTTTCCGAGGGTGTAAATCTTTAC